TGTGTTCGAGAAATTTTTTTAATTATTCTACATTATAAGTACCGAAAGAAGCCATATATATGAAACTGGATACTAATGGCTGTTTTGCGAAATTGAGAGCAATTTCAAATCTGTTCAGTTTTTTTTATACACCCTATAAGTAATTTCTTTATTAAACGAGCAAATTTTATTGCATTCCCGGGGCTTTGAGGCCTCAAATCCATTCGACACTGGTTTTAATGGGGGTCTTTGGATGCCAGTTGTGACTTCTCAGCAAACGTTCAATTGCAAGATTCTTCTTTCATCGTTTCTCAGTAATAAGATAGCTTATTTTCGTTCTTTGTTCAAGCAAAAGGGCAATTTTCGGTAGAGGTAGTTAACCCCATTTAGAACGTCCATACAACGTACATTCGTGCTGCGAAACGATTGAAAAACTCCAATGAAAATAGCAGCTATAAATAATGGTAATGACTGAGTGGAGTAAAATTTGGACTGTATTTGCATTTTTGTAAAACGGAAACGTTTTTTTTTGCAAAAGACACCTCTGGTAGCAAACAAGATGAATTTTTAGTTTTGGCAAATTGAAGCGATTTATAACGAATACTGTAAGAGACGATACTACTAAGTTTAAACATGTTGGTTATTGTTTGATTTGATATCCGAACTACGATAGGCATCCGTGATCACGCGAATTGACCTTTTACCTGACGCTTTAAAGTTACATTTGCTGGCATTTTGATCATCTTCGTTAGAAGATCTTGTCCTTAATTTGCCTGTTAAATACTTTGTTTTGCTCATTTGCCATATCACGTCTTTCTCAAAACTGATTGGTGTTCGAATCCTATTGCTAAGATTGCAGGAAACAACATTGATTTCAAAATGAATATAATAAACGGTGATATTTTTAACATTGCCGAAAAATGGCGAAATTTGTTATGCAGCCAGTGCACGTAATCACAAAAGGATGAGCGTACTGAAGTCAGACCTGAGGTTGGACCCTGTCTGTTAGCCCCACACAGCATCCTGTTTAGGTAGTAAACTTCGCACTTAAAACCTTATTATAATTATTTTCAAGAGCCATTGTTCTGCTGCCTTCTTACACCTGTATTAATAAACCAAATATAGAGTTTCCTTTACTATTCCTTATAGCCGTCCAATGTGAAAATGGTCTGGAGTACCAAGCTTGTGGTCCAGCATGTCCTGAAACATGCAAGACTCTCTGTGGCTCTGGTCCTTCCTGTTCAATACCATGCACTGAAGGCTGTCATTGCCCTAACGGTACAGTACTTCACAATGGCGCCTGCATTAAACCAGAAGCGTGTCCTTGTGTCGTTGACGGTCAGGAGTACCCGAACGGTTCATTTGTGATCAGTAACTGCCAAAATTGGTAAGAACGTACATAAAAAATTTGCAATATAAATAAAAAAAACTTGCAGCGCTCCTCCTGCCATTGCACACATCCTCCTGTCAAAAAAGGCAATTTCGGACAATTTGCTCGCTTGTACCATCTCAATTTCACGGTATTTACGACGACGTCAAACAGAAGTAGCAACCGTAATACGCACTGTATATTTGAAAGGTCTACTAAAGTTGAACTATATCAACTTCGTCACAAACTCCTGATTTATAAGGCCGTTCCATTCGTCCAACAGCTTTCCCTCTTCTTTCCAATGAAGCTGTAAGTTTCAGAAACTGACCACTGTTATCCAAACTGCATTCAGAACTCATATACATCGGGAGTTCACGACTAAAAGGTAAATTTCCCCCTCATTTTAGCTTGTGCACCTCCGGTTGTCTTACATGTATTGGCCCAACATGCACCACCTTACCAGGTAAGCATAATCGCTAATTTTCCTCCATAGTTACCAGCCTCTCACAAACTGGACATACCATTCATACATTCCATCCTCTCATTTTGCTTTCAATTCCACAGCTACTGCTGCTCCAACACCAGCGCCAACCACGGCAACAATTGCTACAACAACAGCTCCAACCACGGTAACAATTGCTACAACACCAGCTCCAACCACGGCAACAACCGCTACAACTGTAGTTCCAACCACGGCAACAATTGTTACAATAGGAGTTCCAACCACGGCAACAACTCCTACAACACAAGTTCCAACAGCGCCAACAACTCCTACACCAAGAGTTCCAACCACGGCAACAACTGCTACAACAAGAGTTCCAACCACGGCAACAACTGTTACAACAGGAGTTCCAACCACGGCAACAACTGTTACAACAGGAGTTCCACCCACGGCAACAACTGTTACAACAGGAGTTCAAACCACGGCAACAACTGTTACAACAGGAGTTCAAACCACGGCAACAACTATTACAACAGGAGTTCAAACAACGGCAACAACTGTTACAACAGGAGCACCAATAACGGCAACAACTGTTACAACCCGAGTGCCAACCACGGCAACAACTCCTACAACACGAGTGCCAACCACGGCAACAACTCCTACAACAATGGTTCCAACCACGGCAACAACTGTTACAACGGGAGTTCCAACAACGGCAACAACTGTTGCAACAATAGTTCCAACCACGGTAACAACTCCTACAACAAGAGGTTCAACCACGACAACAACTGTTACAACGGGAGTTCCAACCACGGCAACAACTCCTACAACACGAGTTCCACCCACGGAAACAACTGTTACAACCGTTGTGCCAACCACAGCAACAACTGTTACAACCGTAGTGCCAACCCCGGCAACAACTCCTACAACACGAGTTCCAACCACGGTAACCACTCCTACAACAAGAGTTCCAACCACTGCAACAGCTCCTACAACGAGAGTTCGAACCACGGCAACAAATGTTACAACGGGAGTTCCAACCACACCAACAACTGTTACAACTGTAGTCCCAACAACGGCAACAACTCCTACAACAAGAGTTCCAACCACGGCAACAACTGTTACAACGGGAGTTCCCAACCACAGCAACAACTGTTACAACCGTAGTGCCAACCACGGCAACAACTCCTACAACAAGAGTTCGAACCAAGGCAACAACTGTTACAACGGTAGTGCCAACCACGGCAACAACTCCTACAACGGGAGTGCCAACCACGGCAACAACTGTTACAACGGGAGTGCCAACCA